CTGCACGCTCGCCTCATTCGCATCGGCTTCAAGCAACTACCGCACGATCAGGGCATGTACCGGCTCACGAAAGGCGCAGATTACATCCTGTTGATCGTCTAAGTAGACGGCCTCCTCTAAATCGGCTCAACTGACGGCATCACCACCTGGTTCGAAGGGGAGCTGCAGCAAGACCTCACACTCACGGTCTCGCCTACCGTCACTCAGTACCTCGGCCTCAACATCCGAGAAGAAGAGGACGCAATCTACCTCAGCGCCGAGAAGTACGCCGACACCATCGCCAAGCATTTCGCTCTAACGCCGACCGCGATCTCCACGCCATACCGCTACACGACAGGAACCGACAAGGGAGGATCCGCTCTACTCAAACCCGCCGGCATACGCGACTATCAGAGGAGATTAGGATGCCTCCTCTTCGCAGCCGTTACCTGCCGTCCCGACGACTCATACTCCGCAAGCCAGCTCGCCACCTACCTCAAGAAGCCCGAAGCAGAACACCTGGCAGAGCTCGACCGCGCTCTTCACTACTTCATCAGCACCCCGACGATCGGCCTAACCTACCACAAGAACGCAACTACACCAACTAAGCTAATCGGCTACGTCGACGCCGATCACGCCGGCGACTCCGACAACAGGCGCTCACGCACCGGCTACATCTACCGCCTCGAACCTATCGGCCCCATCTCCTGGCAGTCGAGCAAGCAGGAGTTAATCGCGCTATCATCAGCTGAAGCAGAATACATCGCACTCTGCTCAGCCACCAAGGAGGGACTTTATCTTCGTGAGTTGCTGGAAGAAGCGAAATTAGCCGAGTTCTGCGACAACCAGTCGGCAATTCGCATCGCCAACAAAAACGGCTTCGCGAACAGGACGAAACACATCGCCTTACGCTACTTCTTCGTGAAGGACGAGATCGAGAAAGGAAGACTCGAGCTGTCATACTGCCCCACATCCGAGATGGCAGCTGACTACTTGACCAAGAAGCTCGGAAAGCAGAAATTCGAGTACTGCATGCTGCTGACTGGACAGAGCCACGTCACCAGCAGCGACACTCCAGAAGCGAAGGGGAGTGTTGGAAACAGTAAATCTTAAGCGCTTCTGTCGTGTCGAAACATCGCACCAGAAGTGAAGCAAACCATATCGAAGCACCCGCGAGTCAACCCTCGGAGGTTGAGAGGTTGCTGGAGGTTACGCGAAAGTCAAAGGTCAAGCGACCTTTGACCTGACAAGTGCAGCGCGACAGTTAAGGACACACAACTGACTCGTTACAGAGCAGTTGCCCGAGTCGTACTGTATCGAACCGCAACAGCAAATTAGTTCAAACCTTATCTTTTCGCATTCCTTGTACTATTATATATTCTTGTATCCCTTTGCTATAATCAATCTACTTTGCCCTCACATACCAGCGCCTTCAAATTCGAGTACTGCATGCTGCTGACTGGACAGAGCCACGTCACCAGCAGCGACACTCCAGAAGCGAAGGGGAGTGTTGGAAATAATAAATCTTAAGCGCTTCTATCGTGTCGAAACACCGCACCAGAAGTGAAGCAAACCATATCGAAGCACCCGCGAGTCAACCCTCGGAGGTTGAGAGGTTGCTGGAGGTTACGCGAAAGTCAAAGGTCAAGCGACCTTTGACCTGACAAGTGCAGCGCGACAGTTAAGGACACACAACTGACTCGTTACAGAGCAGTTGCCCGAGTCGTACTGTATCGAACCGCAACAGCAAATTAGTTCAAACCTTTTCTTTTTGCATTCCTTGTACTATTATATATTCTTGTATCCCTTTGCTATAATCAATCTACTTTGCCCTCACATACCAGCGCAAGGTGGTTCACAACCTTTTCATTAAAGCTTCCGCTGTTACAACTATTCCTACCCAGAGTTCTTCCTTGCAAAGATCCTAAGGGCTTTTCTCAGCCCAACAATACCATGTTCTGCCAGAAATTCCCGCAATCTACTGTAAGAAGTTTTGGTTGGTTTTAGATGAAACATACAGTACCAGTAAAATACGCTTCTGATGATCAGATAAGAACAAAAGATCAGTTCTGATAGATCAGATGTCGGTAAAGTCCAATTATTGGAAATCAGATTAACTAAAAAACTGCTTGGAATCTCGGACAAAAATAAAAAAATGTCTGATGGCGACGCTGCCCACAGACCCAGCGCACATACGGCATCGCATAGCCTGCCACTACATACGGTACATTATTTCATGTCCTACCACTTTGAAATTCTAAGTTCTAACTGTACGTATTCCTCTGCGTCAATCTGTGCGAATAACACTATAAAGATGCTCAAGGGGCCCCTCTCAACGTGCGCGCACGCCACATGAAGGCTACTTCTGGTTTTCCAGGGGACTTTCGAGGGGAGGAAGAGCATGAGGAGCATGGAGAGTTGCATGGAAAGTCTTTAGGTAAGCTGTCAGATGATAAGCTGCTCTTACTGTGGCTCTGCTCTCCCCGGTTCTGCACGCTGCCGCTCCCGCTGCTGCTGCTGCTACTGCCAGGCACATGCGTACTTTGGAGCGGGTCACGCACGAGATGGTGGGAGGCTCGGTGAGCGTGGGAGGTTTGGTGGGCATGGGAGGTTTGGTGGGTGTGGGAGGTTTGGCGGGCGTGGGAGGCTTGATGGGCGTGGGAGGTTTGATGGGTGTGGGAGGTTTGATGGGCGTGGGAGGTTTGATGGGCGTGGGAGGTTTGATGGGCGTGGGAGGTTCCTTGCTGGGAGGACGCGCTGTGGGAGCGAGGCACGACGTGGTGGGAGGCGTGTGGGGGACGAGAGAAGGCCGGCAGCAAGGCTCTAGTCTGCCAAGCAACAGCCTTACCCTCCTCATCCTTACGGCTGCCTGCCCTCGTTCCATTCCCATTCCCATCCACATCTTCATCCCAGCCCGCACTCCCGTCGTCTTCATCCGAGCTGCCGTGCACGAAGTTCCCGAGAATGCCATGCCTGGTGTCAGCATGGAAGCGGCTCATTCTATGCCCCGTGGGAGGTGAGCTGGAGGATGAGGCCATGGGTTCGAAGGAAGAGCGTGGGTACTGCAGGTGCGCCAGCACGTGGCTCACGACAGTGGCTAGCGAAGTGCCACGGGAGTCACACTCGCTGGCAGAGGAGGCAGCGTGATAGGCAGTCAGGCTGCTAGAGCGCGGTTTGGCTGTGTTGACAGTCCTGGGGGTGGACGTGCAAGCACTGCTGCTGCTGTCACTGTCACTCCCACCACTGCTCCTTCTTCTGCTAACAGTGCTTCTACCTGGTTTGACACTGTCGAATCCTCCTCTCGTGCCTGCTCTTCCTCTGCCACTGCCACGGTTCCGATGCCCACTGCTGCTGCTGGCACCAAGATTGCTGCTGCCGCTGTGAGTCACTCTCTTTTCTGCATTCACCTGTAGTGGACGGTGGGGCCTAAAGGACGGACGCTCGACAACTGTGGAATGGGACAACTGCTGGATGGCGGAAAAACCAGGAGAAGCAGCAACAGCATTCTCCGTACGAGAAGCACGAGCAGAAGCAGCAGCAGGCGCCGATGTAGCAATACTGGCAGCCCTATGCAAAGGCTGATTCCCCGTCCTTCCCTGGGCCGCATGACCAAACGGGTTTCCCTTGAGCCCTTGGGTTGCCCCACCGCTGCTGCCAGTGCGTGCTCCTATCTCTTGCTCCCACTTCTTCCTGGCACGCCCACTGAGCATGAGCGCACCGCTCCTGCTGCTGCTGATCAGCAGCGTGCTCATTGGCCCTTCCATCGGATCCCTGCTGGCTCGTGCTGCCGCCGGCACAGCAGCAGCAGGGGCAGAACGACCAGAGGCATCGACCCGTGAGCCTGCAACAGCAGCAGCAGCAGCAGCAGAAGCATGGATACTGCTCGGAAGAGGTGTCTTTGTGAAGCTGGCACTTTGAAAGGCAAGGAAATCGGAGCGGGTCCTTCTGTGCCTGCTTCTGTCAGCACCGGTAGCAACAGCGGCAGCACCACCACCACCAGTAACACCAGTAGCAGCAGCAACACCAGAAGGAGCAGCAGCACGTGCAGGAGAAGCAGCAGCACCAGGAACCTTTATTAAAGGCTCGTTAATAGCGGCAGCAGCAGCAGCAGGAGGCGGCGACGTAGCAATACTGGCAGACCTAGGCACGGGGTGGTTGGTGTGCAGCCGCCGACCATGGGTCACATGCCCAAACAAACTCTCCTGGAGCTCTCTCGCTGTGCCACCGCTGCTGCCAGTGCGTGCTCCTATCTCTTGCTCCCACTTCTTCCTGGCACGCCCACTGAGCATGAGCGCACCGCTCCTGCTGCTGCTGATCAGCAGCGTGCTCATTGGCCCTTCCATCGGATCCCTGCTGGCTCGTGCTGCCGCCGGCACAGCAGCAGCAGGGGCAGAACGACCAGAGGCATCGACCCGTGAGCCTGCAGCAGCAGCAGCGGCAGAAGCAGCAGCAGCAGCAGAAGCAGAAGCAGCAGCAGCAGCAGCAGCAGATGGATACTGCTCGGAAGAGGTGTCTTTGTGAAGCTGGCACTTTGAAAGGCAACGAAATCAGAGCGGGTCCTTCTGTGCCTGCTTCTGTCAGCACCGGTAGCAACAGCGGCAGCACCACCACCACCACCACCAGTGGCACTAGTAAAACCAGTAACACCAGAAGAAGCATCAGCAGCAGCAGCAGCATGAGCAGCAGCAGCATGAGCAGAAGCAGCATCATGAGTGAAGGGGAGGTTTGGCAGGCGGGTCTTGTTAAAGGCATCCACTGAGAGTGGAGACGGCGTGGGGCACCCTCGATGGATGCTCGCAGCAGGGAAGGTGGCCGCCAGTGATGCCAAACCGGCACTGGAGAGTGGAGACGGGATTCGTAGACGCCCCCCAACATCGTCAACACTCCGACTGCGAGTGTGCATAGCGTGCTGGTTACCAGCAACCACCTGGTTACTGCCAAAGGCAGTCTGGTTACCACCACTTCTACCCTGAAACTGGTTACCACGAAATGTCTGGTTACCACCAGAAATTCCCAGCGGTCTACCCGAGGAAGCTGCGCTTGAACGGAGGTCCTGTGACTTTGTGGCAGGAAGTTGCTCAGCACATTCCTCCGCACGTCTTCTCACACCCTCACCTCCCTCTCCCATGCCGCTGCTACTGCCGCTGCCCCCCCTCATCCGGCTCCTGGCCACTTCTCCGGCTGTTGCGGTTGCGGCGGCGGCTGCGGCGGCTGTGGTGGGTGCGGCGGCTGTAGCGGCTGTGGCGGCTGCGGCGGTGGGTACGGCGGGTGTGGCGGGTTTGGTGGGTGTGGTGGGTGTCCAGGCGTGTGCCGGCCTCGCCGTGCCCGTCTCATCCAGTGACGCTGCATGCCACCGAGGACCATGGCGCCACCTGCCTGCTCCCCTTGCTCCTGCCAACCCTGCTCCTGCTCCTGCTGCTCCTGCTGCTGCTCCTGCTGCTGCTGCTGCTGCTCCTGCTGCTCCTGCTGCTGCTCCTGCTGCTGCTCCTGCTGCTGCTGCTCCTGCTGCTGCTGCTCCTGCTGCTGCTCTTGCTACTCCTGCTGCTCCTGCTGATCCTCCTGATGCTGCTGCTGCTCCTGCTGCTCCTGTCACTGCTCTTGCTGCTCCTCCTCCTGCTGCTGCTGCTGCTGCTGCTGCTGCTGCTCCTCCTCCCGCTTCTGCCGCTGCTATCGCTCCTCCTGCTGCTCCTGCTCCTGCCTCTCCTCCTGCCTCTCCTCCTGTTCTCTCTGCTGCTCTCTCTGCTGCTCTCTCTGCTGCTCTCTCTGCTGCTGCTACGCCTTGCTTTGGCGGCCGCTGCCTTGAGTGCCCGTGCTGCTGCGCGAGAGATGATGCGTGCACGGAAAGGGTGGCGCGCGGCAGCGGAGCGAGAAGCGCGACAGGCGCGGGAGGCGCGCCCGCGGACGAGCTGCGGGGGATGGGGAAGCTTGCGGGCTGTTGGGGGGAACTCCCGGGGGAGGTGAGGGAATGGGGCAGGGACGCGCGGCGGGAGGGGTGCAGCAAGGCGGGGGCCCCGGCGGAAGGCGAAGCGGCCATCTTCCTGTGCTGGGGCGAGGCATTCGGGGTGGCGCCAAGAGGGACGGTTGGCGCGACCGCTGCACCTTTCCCTCCGCCACTCGCGCTTGCGCCCTCCGCTGCGCCCAGCGCCATGAGTACGAGGCTGCCGGGCGCGGAAGCGATCCGCGGAATGCGCTGGGCTGTGCGCCGTACCAGCGCCGGGGGCACAGAAGAGGAGGCGCACGACGGGTGCAGCGTGGGTAGGTTGCTGCTGGCAGCAAGTCGTTCCCGGTGCTTGCGCTGTGACTGGCCTGCCTCATACCGCTGCTGCTGCTGCTGCTGCTGCTGCTGCTGCTGCTGCTGCTGCTGCTGCTGCTGCTGCTGCTGCTGCTGCTGCGGTTGGTGGCGCGGCGCTGCAGTGGTGGTGTTGGGCGTCCTGGCGCGCGCATGGAAGCCATGCAGCACACGCGCCACGGTGCACTCCTCCCACTCCGACTCCGATTCCCATTGCGACTCCCACTCAGGCTCCGATTCCCACCCGCTCGACTCCACCTCGCGTGCCTCGCCCTCTTCCTGCGCGCGGGACTCGCTCCCCCCCGCACCACCGCCATGCGCCTTGCCGGCAGACCGACCCGCGACGGCGGAAAGTGGGGAGGCGGAGGGGACGCGAGACGGGGAAGCACTCGCGGCGGGCGCATTGCCAGGAGTTGCCCCCCGCGGGCTCCAGAAGCGGGTTGCGCTGCCCGCGGACGCCGAGAGCAGTGCCTTGCGCCGCGCAGGCTGCGGGGAAAACGACGGGAGCGGGCAATCGGCGCCGTGGGGGTGGGCGATGCCATGCCTGGTGTGCGCATGGAAGCGGGTCATTCTGTGCCCCGTGGCACTTGTGGTTGCAGAGCAAGCCATGGGAGGTTCGGTGGAGGGCGAGGCTGTGGGTTCGGAGTAGGAACGTGGGTAGTGCAGGTGGGACAGCACGTGGGTCAGGACAGCAGCTAGCGGAGTCCCCTGGGGTTCATGCATGCTGGCAGTGAGGCTCATAGAGCGAGATCTCCAGGTGCTGCTGGTGGATGTGTTCAGAGTCTTGGCAGCGGGCGTGCATGCACTGCTGCTGCTGTCGCTGTCACTGTCACTGTCACTCCCAGCACTGCTCCTGCTTCTGCTGCCAGTGCTTCTACCCGGTTTGACACTGTAAACACCTCCTCCCGCGCTTCTCTTTCCACTGCCTGTGCTCCCAGCAACATCACTCCCGCCACCGCCACGGTTTCTTCTGCTGCTGCTTTTGCCACCAAGTCTGCTGCCGCCGCTGCCAGTCGCACTCTTCCCCGCCTTCACCTGACGATGGACAACTGCGGCACCGGACAACTGCTGAATGGCGGGCGCACCAGCAGTTGCAAGAACAACCTGATCGGTGGGAGCAGCACGAGAAGGAACAAAAGCAGCAGCAGCAGCAGCAGCAGCAGCAGGAGCAGCAGCAGCAGCAGCAGCAGGCGCCGAGGTAGCAATACTGGCAGCTCTATGCAAAGGCTGATCAAGGTGCACCGTCCTTCCCTGGACCGCATGACCAAACAGGCTTTCCTTGAGCCCTTGGGTTGCCCCAGCGCTGCTGCCAGTGCGTGCTCCTATCTCTTGCTCCCACTTCTTCCTGGCACGCCCACTGAGCATGAGCGCACCGCTCCTGCTGCTGCTGATCAGCAGCGTGCTCATTGGCCCTTCCATCGGATCCCTGCTGGCTCGTGCTGCCGCCGGCACAGCAGCAGCAGGGGCAGAACGACCAGAGGCATCGACCCGTGAGCCTCCAGCAGCAGCAGCAGCAGCAGCGGCAGAAGCAGCAGCAGCAGCAGCAGCGTACTGCTCGGAAGAGGTGTCTTTGTGAAACTGGCACTGGGAAAGGCAAGGAACTCGGAGCGGGTCCTTCTGTGCCTGCTTCTGTCAGCACCGGTAGCAACAGCGGCAGCAGCAGCACCAGTAACACTGGCAGTACCAGAAGCACCAGTAACACCAGTAGCAGAAGCAGCATCAACATCAACATCAGAAGGAGCAGCACGAGCAGGAGAAGCAGCAGCAGCACCAGGAGCCTTAATCAAAGGCTCGTTATTAGCGGCAGCAGCAGCAGCAGCAGCAGAGGCGGCGACGTAGCAAGAGTGGCAGAGGTAGGCATGGGCTGGTTGGTGTGCAGCCGCCGACCATGGGTCACATGCCCAAACAAACTCTCCTGGAGCTCTCTCGCTGTGCCACCGCTGCTGCCAGTGCGTGCTCCTATCTCTTGCTCCCACTTCTTCCTGGCACGCCCACTGAGCATGAGCGCACCGCTCCTGCTGCTGCTGATCAGCAGCGTGCTCATTGGCCCTTCCATCGGATCCCTGCTGGCTCGTGCTGCCGCCGGCACAGCAGCAGCAGGGGCAGAACGACCAGAGGCATCGACCCGTGAGCCTGCAGCAGCAGCAGCAGCAGCAGCGGCGGCGGCAGCAGCAGCGGCGACTGCAGAAGAAGAAGCATGGATACTGCTCGGAAGAGGTGTCTTTGTGAAACTGGCACTGGGAAAGGCAAGGAAATCGGAGCGGGTCCTTCTGTGCCTGCTTCTGTCAGCACCGGTAGCAACAGCGGCAGCAGCAGCACCAGTAACACTGGCAGTACCAGAAGCACCAGTGACACCAGTAGCAGAAGCGGCAGCAGCAGCAGCAGCAGCACCACCACCAGTGGCACCAGTCAAACCAGTAACACCAGAAGCAGCCTCAGCACCAGCAGCAGCAGCAGCAGCGGCAGCAGCAGGAGCAGCAGCAGCAGCAGTTGTGAGTGAAAGGGAGGTTTGGCCGGTGGGTCTTCTTAAAAGCATCCACTGAGAGTGGAGACGGGATTCGTACCCGTCCCCCAACATCGTCAACGCTGCGACTGCGGATGTGCGTAGTGTACTGGTTACCAGCAAACGCCTGGTTATTACCAAGGCCAGTGTGGTTACCACCACTACTACCCTGAAACCGGTTACCACAAATTGTCTGGTTACCACCATGAATGCCCAGCAGTTTACCCGAGGAACCTGCACTTGAACGGAGTCCCTGTGCCATTGTGCCAGGAAGTTGCTCAGCACATTCCTCCGCACGTCTTCTCACACCCTCACCTCCCTCTCCCATGCCGCTGCTACTGCCGCTGCCCCCCCTCATCCGGCTCCTGGCCACTTCTCCGGCTGTTGCGGTTGCGGCGGCGGCTGCGGCGGCTGTGGTGGGTGCGGCGGCTGTAGCGGCTGTGGCGGCTGCGGCGGTGGGTACGGCGGGTGTGGCGGGTGTGGTGGGTGTGGTGGGTGTCCAGGCGTGTGCCGGCCTCGCCGTGCCCGTCTCATCCAGTGACGCTGCACGCCACCGAGGACCATGGCGCCACCTGCCTGCTCCCCTTGCTCCTGCCAACCCTGCTCCTGCTCCTGCTGCTCCTGCTGCTGCTCCTGCTGCTGCTGCTGCTGCTCCTGCTGCTCCTGCTGCTGCTCCTGCTGCTGCTCCTGCTGCTGCTGCTCCTGCTGCTGCTGCTCCTGCTGCTGCTCTTGCTACTCCTGCTGCTCCTGCTGATCCTCCTGATGCTGCTGCTGCTCCTGCTGCTCCTGTCACTGCTCTTGCTGCTCCTCCTCCTGCTGCTGCTGCTGCTGCTGCTGCTGCTGCTGCTCCTCCTCCCGCTTCTGCCGCTGCTATCGCTCCTCCTGCTGCTCCTGCTCCTGCCTCTCCTCCTGCCTCTCCTCCTGTTCTCTCTGCTGCTCTCTCTGCTGCTCTCTCTGCTGCTCTCTCTGCTGCTGCTACGCCTTGCTTTGGCGGCCGCTGCCTTGAGTGCCCGTGCTGCTGCGCGAGAGATGATGCGTGCACGGAAAGGGTGGCGCGCGGCAGCGGAGCGAGAAGCGCGACAGGCGCGGGAGGCGCGCCCGCGGACGAGCTGCGGGGGATGGGGAAGCTTGCGGGCTGTTGGGGGGAACTCCCGGGGGAGGTGAGGGAATGGGGCAGGGACGCGCGGCGGGAGGGGTGCAGCAAGGCGGGGGCCCCGGCGGAAGGCGAAGCGGCCATCTTCCTGTGCTGGGGCGAGGCATTCGGGGTGGCGCCAAGAGGGACGGTTGGCGCGGCCGCTGCACCTTTCCCTCCGCCACTCGCGCTCGCGCCCTCCGCTGCGCCCAGCGCCATGAGTACGAGGCTGCCGGGCGCGGAAGCGATCCGCGGAATGCGCTGGGCTGTGCGCCGTACCAGCGCCGGGGGCACAGAAGAGGAGGCGCACGACGGGTGCAGCGTGGGTAGGTTGCTGCTGGCAGCAAGTCGTTCCCGGTGCTTGCGCTGTGACTGGCCTGCCTCATACCGCTGCTGCTGCTGCTGCTGCTGCTGCTGCTGCTGCTGCTGCTGCTGCTGCTGCTGCTGCTGCTGCTGCGGTTGGTGGCGCGGCGCTGCAGTGGTGGTGTTGGGCGTCCTGGCGCGCGCATGGAAGCCATGCAGCACACGCGCCACGGTGCACTCCTCCCACTCCGACTCCGATTCCCATTGCGACTCCCACTCAGGCTCCGATTCCCACCCGCTCGACTCCACCTCGCGTGCCTCGCCCTCTTCCTGCGCGCGGGACTCGCTCCCCCCCGCACCACCGCCATGCGCCTTGCCGGCAGACCGACCCGCGACGGCGGAAAGTGGGGAGGCGGAGGGGACGCGAGACGGGGAAGCACTCGCGGCGGGCGCATTGCCAGGAGTTGCCCCCCGCGGGCTCCAGAAGCGGGTTGCGCTGCCCGCGGACGCCGAGAGAGGAGGCGCTGCCTTGCGCCGCGAAGGTTGCGGGGAAAACGACGGGAGCGGGCAATCCGCGCCGTCCGCGTCGTCGATGTCCGCAGTGCGGGGAATAATTGATCCGCCAACCGACGCGGATCGAAAGTGGCGAGCGCGGCGGAAACCGGAGGGGCTGCCGGGAGGCGGGCGCGGAGAGAGCGGCGCGGCATTTCCGCGGCGCACTAACGAGAGCAGCTCCATGGCTCCAGCAGGTAACGGCTGCTCGTCGGGTGCTCTGGAATTAAGTCCTCGGGCACCGCGAGCAGTGGGGATTGCGGAGATCTCCGTGGCCGCGACTGTCGTCGCCGCCGTGCCCACGCGTGCGTTGCTCGACGACGCGACGGATGCTGTCGTGGGCGCCATTCCGGCTCGGGCTCCGCCTCGCCGAGACGTAGCAGCAGCATCCGGCGGACTGGCAGTCGCCGCCTCAGGTTCGGCGGAGTGAGGGGGTACAAGCGGAGCTTGCGGCGAGCGCACGCAGCCGCTACGGCCTTCATCGGATGAAGACGCGTCGGGGAGAGGCGCCTCGGCGACGACAGGGATGATGCTGCCAGCTTGCGCCTGCGGGGACGGGAAACGCGGTTCCGTGCCACCGACGCTCCCGTCGCTGTCGCCGCTGCTGGCACCGGCGTCGAGGTTAGCAATGGCCGTCAAGCCGCCGCCTTGGTCCGTGCTCGTGCCCATATACACGTTGCAGCGACGCTCTGGGTTGGCTGCCATGCCTGCTATTCCCGCCGTCACTGCTCTCGCCGCTGCTCTTGCCCGGCACGAAGTATAATAGACTGCCGGGTACACAAGCCGTGCCTGCTTTTCTCACTGCTCCTCGCAACTATTGCTGTGCGGATAATTGCTCCTGGGAGATTGGTACTAATACGTGTAAAAGTGAGTCCCTATCAGGGCGGGTACCTGATAAGCTGCTCCTTGTTCCTGGGATGAAAGTGAGTCCCGATTCGGGTGCATGAATGCAAGACTCTGCTTTTTCTCAAGAGATTATCGTCTATTGGTCGAAGCGGGTCGCCTAGTGGGGAACGAAAAGCGACGAGTGCGTCGGCCAGAGGGCAAAGCTGCAGAGCAGCTGGCGGAAACTCGCTCGCTATCGTGGCAGTTCGTCATGGGCGGAGCAGCAAGGTGAGCTGGTCGCGCCGCGGTGGGCTCTCCCCCATCGGGCCAATCTTCCAGTGCCCCGCACATAGCAGGTCGCTGCGGTGGCGCGAGTGGGAGCGAATGGTGCAGGGAAAGAGACGTCGGGGCTGGCTGCAGAGTGGGCAGCATTTCGAGCGCAGAGGAAATCGTTCAGCGCAGTGTGCTGCTAAGCAGCAGCATGCGATGCAAATCCCAGGTTGACAAGGATAATCCTTTTGCAAGGATAAGAGACGCAGGAGGGCATGGGCAGCAAGCAACCCAGCCACTTGCTTATCTGGTCTAGCGGGAACTCTGAGATACATACAGTTCAACCTGCAGGGCCAGGCTGGGGGGTTACGCCCAACGCCGCAATGCAACCAACAGCTACAACGGAATGCGACACAGAGAGAGAGCTGAAGCAGGAAGGCACGGTAATGGTGGTGAATTCTGTTTTTGTTACTTGCTTTTTCTCCCCTTCGCGTTGTTGTGAGCGGAGCGGAGTTATTGGTGCTGCGTTGCCAGCGAAGTTCCTTGTGGGAGGCGATGGGGGTGCAGGATGCGCCTGGCACCATCCAACGGAGGGGGATGGATCTAGGCACGTGTTCCAAGCCAAAGACAAGCGTGTACACGCAGAGATTTGTCTCCCCCAATCATAATTGCTACCACTGGTCGACCTGTGCGCGGTCCGGTGGAAAAGTAAAGACCGTTCCCACCGTGGTTTATCTTATTGAACCTCGCAAAACAGACTCACACAAATAGATAAGGCTGCAAGTAGTTGGGTCTGTGTCATTTACTAGTGTTACGGGTGAAATTGAACGAACTAGCTAGGATTGAATAGGTGTCAAACGAGTAAAACAGTATGAGCTAAGGCATGAGCAAATACGTATACGCGAAACATGCAAATGGTAACGCGGTGTTTGCAAGCTAGCTAGTGCTAGGCTGGCATCGAGGTTCGGGCTAGTCCCGAAGCATATACCGACACGGCCGGGCCAGCGGTGCATGGTTTGGTGAAACAGTGCGCGCAAATGTTGGCGAAGCCCCGTTAGCAGTAAAGGACAACAATGGCTGCTGCTGTACACTACCTCCCCCTCTCTCTCTCCCCCCCCCCTCCCCCCTCCCACCTCCTCAAGAAGTCCCCTCCGCTACGCGAGCGCGTGTATATCGCGGAAACCACGGCCCTCATGTACACTTGCAGGGCACGGTGGTTTTTTATTTTGGCCAGGGGCACCCAGCTGTCTTCGGTTGGAATGCGGTCCTTCCAGGGAATGCGGAACTTGATCCTCTTGATTCCCATGGGGTGGCAAATCCGATGACTCAAAAATTGTCTCGGGCTCAACGACCGGCTCAGATGGAGGGCGAGTCATGGACGGTGGGCGATGGCGTGGCAGTTGGATGGTGGTTGTGCTGTACGGGCGAAGCAGGCTGACGTGGAATGATAAGATGATGTACCAATTCGATGGCAACAGTAGGTGGGCAGTAACTGGGGTGATCATGTGGCTTATTTGGAACGGTCCACAGTAGCGCGACCGAAGTTTCCGTACGACGGGTGGCCCTAAATTATGTGTGTCGAGCAGTATGTAATCCCCTGGCTGGTACGTAACCCGGTGGCTGTGGCGGTCAACGTTTCTCTTCACGATGATGTTGACCCTTTTGACTGCGTCTGCTGCTCGCATCCGGGTAGCTTGCAATATTTCAGCGAATTGTTGAGCACGTGGTGTTGGGTTGTCCGAATTCGGCATCATGGGCACTGTTGGTTTTTGCCCGTCGTTCAGGTAGAATGGGGACTGCTGGCGTTGTCGACGTGACGTTCTTGTACGCGAACTCAATCAGCGGCAGCTGCTGCTCCCATGTTGTCGGGTCGTCGCACGTGGCACGAATCAACTTCTCCATGGTTTAGTTCGTCCACTCCGTTTGATCGTTAGTCTCGAGGTGGTACGGTGAACTGAACTGTAGCCGGGTCTCGAACTGCTCCCAAAGGTTCTTCCAGAAGTTGTTGGTAAATTTCGTGCCTCTGTCGCTGATTATTGCGGCTCGTATCCTGTGCAGTCGGACAATGGTTGCGATGAACAGGCGAGCGGTTTCTTCGGGTCAGATCGATTTCCTGCACGCTGCGAAATGAGCCAATTTCGTCGGGCTGTCAACGGCAACCATAACCGCGTCGTTGCCCTTGGGGCTCGAAGACAACCTCGTGACCAAATCTGTGGTAACCTGCTGCCAGGCTCGCTCGGGCGGTGAGATCGGCTCAACTGACCCGCGTTTCTCTTGCGCGAGCTTTTCATCACCTGACACGTGGAACACGACCCCACCTGATGTTGTACGTCCGTCAACAGCTCCGGCTAGTAGTAATACCGCTGCAGTTGCTGTCGCGTTTTTTCTACCCCAAATTGACTCGAGGCAACCCCGTTGTGTGCCTCCTGCAGTAGCAGTTCCCTCACCAGTGAGTACGCTGGTACTTAGATGAGATTGGCACTCGCTTTTACGTGATACACTCCTTTTGCTTCTGTCAACCGCTGTGGATTCCCAATTGTGAAAAATGGGTTGGTGTAGTATCCGTGGGCAAATAGGCCTGTTAAGAGTGGGTTGGTCAGGGCGAGTACGATGGCATGGAGTTGGGCAGTGGGTAGGGTGAGGGCGTCGGCGATGTTCGATGCTCCTTTTCTGTACATGACTGAATAGTGGAAATCGGACTTCAGATAGTCCAACCCGCGATTCTGTCGCGGATTGAGGTTCAGTTGGGCGCGGTTGTACCGTATGTCAAAACATATGCATATTATATCTAGGCTATATTGGGGATAGCCTTAGGGGGTACACACATTTCTCTCGACACTCTACTCTTGTACCCCACCTTGACCTAATCTCATCATCCTTGCCTTAGATTCTAACATGGTATAGAGCAGGAGGTCCTTAGGACCTTAGTACCTGTTCTGTTTGGGCCCACCTTACAAATCACCTGCGGTTACCGCGTTACCCTACGCCCGCCCTACCCTACTACGCGTCGCGCTGCCCCTGCTGGCCGCGCGCCACTGCTGCAGCTCGCATTTTCCTTTTTTTTCGCGCGCTGCCTTGCCTGCTCTGCCCCGCGCGCGCTACGCTCGTCGCGTCGCCCCGCGGCCCTCGCGCGGCTCTCGCGCGGCCCTTTCGTGGCCCTTCGCGGCCCTCGCGCGGCCCTTTTGTGGCCCTCGCGCGGCCCTTTCGCGGCCGTCCGCGGCTCTCCGCTGCCCCTTCGCGGCCCCCTACGCGGCCCCTCCGCGGCTCTGCCGCCCTGCCGCTTCGTCGCCCCACCGTAGCCGCCTCCGCAGCAGCGGCCGTCGCACTTCCTACCGCTGCAGCTTCCGCCACGGCTGGTTGCCGCTGCAGCTGCTGCCGTGACGACCGCCGCCACTGCCGCTGAGACAGCCGCTGCCGCCCCTGCCCCTGGCTCCTGGGGCAGCCGCCCCTGCCCCTGGCTCCTGGGGAAGCCGCCCCTGCAGCAGCCGCCCCTGGTCCCTGGAGCAGCCGCCCCTACACCTGCTGCCCCTTGCCACTGGAGCAGCTGCCCCTGCAGCAGCCGCCCCTGCCCCTGGCCCTTCGGGCAGCCGCCCCTGCAGCAGCCGCCCCTGGCCCCTGGAGCAGCCGCCCCTGGCCCCTGCAGCAGCCGCCCCTGGAGCAGCCGCCCCTGCAGCAGCCGCCCCTGCCCCTGGCCCCTGGAGCAACCGCCCCTGCAGCAGCCGCCCCTGGCCCCTACAGCAGCCGCCCCTGAAGCAGCCGCCCCTGGCCCCTGCAGCAGCCGCCCCTGGAGCAGCCGCCCCTGCAGCAGCCGCCCCTGGCCCCTGGAGCAGCCGCCCCTGCAGCAGCCGCCCCTGGCCCCTACGGCAGCCGCCCCTGAAGCAGCCGCCCCTACAGCAGCCGCCCCTGGAGCAGCCGCCCCTGGAGCAGCCGCCTCTGCAGCAGCCGCCCCTGGAGCAACCGCCCCTGCAGCAGCCGCCCCTGGCCCCTGCAGCAGCCGCCCCTGGCCCCTGCAGCAGCCGCCCCTGGAGCAGCCGCCCCTGCAGCAGCCGCCCCTGGCCCCTGGAGCAGCCGCCCCTGGAGCAGCCGCCACCTGCAGCTGCCGCGGAGCCCTCGCCCTACAGTGGTGCCGGCCTCACCATTGCCGCCGTTGTACGCCGGCCCTTCTTGCCACTGGTGAGCACTGTCCTGCCCGTACTGCTGTTACTACTGCTCCTGCTGCTACTGCTCTTTCTCCTGCTACTGCTGCTCGTGCTGCTCCTACGGCTACTGTGCTTTCTCCTGCTCCTGCTGCTACTGCTGCTCCTGCTGCTACTGCTGCTCCTGCTGCTACTGCCGCTACTCCTGCTCGTGCTGCTCCTACGGCTCCTACCCTTCCTACTGCCACTGCTGCTCCTGGCGTGGCCAGATGCAGCTCCAGCGCCGTCCACGTGAGCCTCTCCCGCCCCCACAGCTTCATGAGTGGTATGCTAGTTGGGGTTGTCGGGGTGGCCGTCGTGGGAGTCGTTCTGGCGTGAGTAGTTTCGGGGCTTCTTGTAGTGGCCAGGTGCAGCTGCAGCGTCGTGTACGCACGGTCC